TCATTAAACAATGTAATCAATATGATATCAAGAGTAAATGGTTTACCGTATTTGTAATAAGGAAACTTATTAATACATGTATTAATTAATATTCTTGTGCAAGTAATATGTAATAAGGTTAGTAATTAGTGTTGCTTTCCTATTAGGTTGTCGATGGTAAAAATAAATCAAAAAATAAATTCTAAAAAATCAACCAATAAAATCGCTAGAATTCTTCTGAGAATGGTTGTGTGAGTGCCACGTGTCAAAGTGACTTCTCTTTTAATGTATAGGAGGATAGAAACAATTAGTACAAATAAAATCAAAATAAAATAGCACATAACAAAATTAATTAAACTCATAGTTTAAAAATGGACACTAACCACTGAAACTAAATACACTAATGTCAGAACTCCATCACGTATCTAAACATTAACATGAATGTTTTCTTACAATTAACAAAATATACACCCGCGCGGGCGCGCGGGTCAAAATCTAGTGATAAATTAAAATCACTCCCTTTCCGGTTCAATGGACCAATCAAACCGGGCCTTTATTCCAATCACCCAACACCTGAAACATCCATCTAAAGCCCACCAGTCTCACTCAAGCTGAAAACTCAAACAACATAGTGTGCTTGTACTTCTCACCAGCCTTAACCACAACAGACGGAAAATTCAACTGGTTAATCGCGTTCGGGAAGCCTTGCGTTTCAAGGCACACACCTGCATGCTTCCCATAAACCGCATTCCCTTTCCCAACCACTCCGTTCACATAGTTCCCCGTATAAAACTGCACCCCCGGAGCATTAGTCCACAAGTCAAGTACCCTCGAGCTCCCACCATCTCTTAGCTTCGCTGCGTGTTTCAGCCCCTCCTTCTCTTGATCAGGACAGTCCAACACATAGTTGTGGTCGTATCCTAAACCCACCTCTCCAATCGACTCGCCTATACGTTTCTCCTCGGTGAAATCAAAAGGAGTTCCTTTAACCGGTAAAATTTCCCCTGTAGGAACTGTGAACTGATCCACAGGAGTGACATGGGACCCCCAAATCTGGATCTTATGATCAAGAATGTTTCCTGAGTCGTGACCAGCCAGGTTCCAGTATGTATGCTGAGCTAAGCTGATGGGAGTGTCTTTGTTCTGCGGAACTGCCTCCATGTCAAGTCTCATGGTCGTTGCTGACGTGAGAGTGTATGTCGCCGTGACAGCAACCGCACCGGGGTAACCTGTGAAACGGGACAATATTACACATTACACATTTAGCTTATGAGATCGCAGAGATATAGCAAAATTATATATATAAAAAAGGAAGATAGTAACCTTCTTCTCCATCGGCGCTGTGATATTTGAAAATGATGAAAGGTTTATCACCGTCTTTCTTGTGGCCTGCTACGTCCCATATCTTCTTATCGAAACCTTTGTTACCACCTGCATATAGGAGTAACATTTATTTTTTTACAAATCCGAGCGAAATGCTATGGAACCATACAGAAGAAGAGAGAAGGGTTTCTATACCGTGGAGGCTGTTGGGAGGCTTGTTGATGGGAAGAGTGTAGTCAACTCCATTGAGACTAAACTTGCCCTCTTTGATCCGATTTGCTACACGGCCAACTATGCACCCAAAGTAGGGTGCAAGCCCTTTCTGTAACAATTATATAATATATTATTTTAGTTCAGATTCATAGTTAAACACACTCAAATACATTACCACTGTTACAACATTTAGATTATTTTGACTGTAACCGTTAAAAACAAATTATTCATAACAAGTCGTACCATGCACAAGAGACCTGAACATATACTTAAACAAAATGATTCAGACACTGTGGGTACGAAGTATTTCAGACACATCTGTTGATGTTGCTTATAAATACTCTATTCACCAATTCAGACAAGGTAAATCACATGGGTGGTGTTTGATAAGAACTCCTTTTTTATCATATCCAGTGAAATAATGTCGAGATTAATGAAATAATTAGGCAAGAAAGTACCACATATGGATCCACAGAGTCGAATCCGAGAACTATATCAGCCAATTTTCCTTCAAAAACCAAACTCGATCATCAGTTGATTTAATTGGGATGTGGAGAAAAGGAATACATAAACGGAGGAATAGAGAAAGAGAAGGAACCGTTCTTGTCGGGGACAGACAAGGAGGTGATGGTGGCGCCATAATTTGAGATCTTGACATGCATGGATCCATTGTTGAGCTCGAAGATCTCAGGAGTGTTATTCTTGCTCTGATCTGCCATTACCGAGTTTAAGGGGTTAAATTAGGGTATAGGATTAGAAGGAGCTAGGAGATGCCAAGTGATTAGGTTTTGTTGATATGTAACAAGAGAAACAAGGGGGAAGTGATCAGTTTTGTTATCCGAAGTGCTGACGGCATCTCAATCCCAAACTCCTCTCTTGTTTTTTTTGTTTTAACCCTTTTCTGTAGATTTTTTACCAAACTATAATCCATAACTAATAAAATAAAACATACTAGTGAAATTTAATTTTCTTTTACATCAAAGAGAAATCTTTAATTATACTTGCATTATAAATTTCGACTAAGTTTTTCATTGTTTTTTTTTTTTTGCTTAAAAAGTTTTTCATTGTTTGGATCATATATTTTACGAGAAAAGAAGAAGAATATATTTATCTGTGTTATGGAAATTAAAAAGAGGAAAAACAATAATAGTATGTACTATAAGAACTGCTTCTTCGCGTGAAATTAGATCTAGCGGTAACCTTTTTCAGGTATCCTATGAACAAAAGACCCAACCTATAAAAAGTTCATCTACTGTTTGTAATGTCTTCCATTTCATAAATTTAAATTTATTCTCAACCAAACAAGTAGCATCAGCTTTTATGCGAAGTTTACAAAGAAAATGTTCCCAGACAAATATAAAAACTAAATTAAATATCATAGGCTCAAAGCATAGAAAGAAAACAGAGTAAATAAAGAACAATCATTTCAAAAGCAAAGCATTTGTCACTTTCTCCTGCTCCCTCACCTATCATCCTAACCAAAAACAAACACTACTTTCCTTTCTTCCCCTCATCACGATCCGACAGTTTATCATCGCAGTGAGACAAATCTCCATCATCGACCATCGATTACACAGGAAAAAATGCAAGATCCACGCAACCATGTTCCACCTTCTCCCACCATCTCCTCCGTCTCTTCCTCCGATCTTGATACAGAGGTCAGTTTCTACAATCGAAATCAAATAGTTTGAGCTTTTTTTCTCATAACTAAATTATTTTTATTACAAAACTAAATTATTTTGTGTTTTTTTTACTACATATTGCATTGAACTATGATTAATTTGAAGTCTTGATTAAGTTTTGTATTGGTGATATTAATAGTCGACAGGATCATTCTTCCATGACAGAAGCATAACACTTGGAACACTTATGGGGTTTAGTTTCACAGCAACCATGCCTATGATGCCATTTAGAGCTTCCTCACAACGCCACGTGTCTCCCTCCATCTCAATCTCACGTGCCTCCTCCAGCTCCAACGCAACAAGACGCAACCAGAGAAAGCGCCCTCCTCCTCCGAACTCCTCTGAGCGGCATCGCCGTCGCAAGTGGTGGCGCTTTTGCCGAGACGACGACGACGGGATGCACCGTGGGTCCGGAGATTGTAGACGGTCATCGCTCGGGGAGTATTTGGAGGTGGAACGGAGGTCCGGAGATGAAACTGTCTATGGCTCCGCCGAGGCGGAGCTAGAGGGTGCGGTGGCGCGTTACAGGGAACAGCACCCGGCGGCAGCGGTGGCGGAAAGAGCGTTGTTCGCTGATGGGAGGGTTCTTCCTCCGGCTTCAGCTGAGGTTGTTAGCGGAGAAGGTACGCCGGAGGTTACGGCACTTTGTAGATTCCCGGTTTCCTTAACCGGTATATGCAGCGGTGGCGGAGGATAGATCCGTCGGTTGTATTTTAATATTTGTGTATTCTACATATGAGATGCAATTCATAGTAATCTTATTGTTTAGTTGATAAAAAAAAAGTTCATAGTAATCTCATTTTTTAGTTAATACTTAATACAAAAAAAGTTCATAGTAATCTCATTTTTTAGTTAATACTTAATACAAAAAAAGTTCATAGTAATCTTATTTTTTTCAGTTGATAAGAAAAGAAGTTTATAGTAATCTTAATTACACTTTATTTGTTTACTTATCCAGTCAAATTTCTCCTTTTTTATGCTAGATTATTAATCACATTTTATTTTTTAGTAATCTGATTTCCCATCAAACAATATATATCTAAACAAATTCTCTTGATGAAATATTTATGTTAAATTATTGTCTCAATGAATAATGAAGGCTAATATAGAAGTGTAGTTTAGAAATCAGGTACACTTGAATAGCAAATCTGAGAAACAAGAAAAGCTTGAAAATGAGAAGAAGAAAAAAAAAATCAAGACTTGCAACAATTCACTCAAATGTGAAATTCTAAAGGAACCGAGTTTAAATTTGGAACATAGGCACAGTGAGAAAACCAACTGGTCTTGCCATACCTTATCTGAATCTTATTGCACATGTCACCCTTCACTATGTAGATGCAAGGCTGTCTACTTCTATCGTCGCCACAACACATGAATAGGGTCTTGTCATGTATGAAGTAACTAACGCCATACCTCTTATAAAACAACTTTGGCAAGTTAGTTGCTGTCAAAGTCATCAAGTGTATCCACACCACTTCCTCTTTATCATAAATCTCATTCTTCATTACCCAAATCTCAATCTTCCTTGTTAAATAGCATTGCTTTAAAAACGAAAGCCGACCTCCCTTAAAAACCGCAAGCACACGTTCATCGCAAGAATGGCTATCTTGAAAAGGAAGAAGACAAAAGGGTCTGAAAATCTCCCTAGTGAAATCAAAGCTTCGGATGAAAAACTCACCAGACAGGTAGTTGTAAGAAATCCAATACAAATTTCCATACAAGGACAACACGTGTGACCGTTTATCTATTTCAGATATGGGCATGTTATCGCCAGGTGTATCAATAAACCTCAACGCGTGCGAGGCACACTCATAGATCGCAATTTTCTGGGGTTGGGGGAAGTAACTTGAGTAGAGTAAAATCTTGTGAACCTTTTGGGGTCTACTATTGTCGTATCCTAAACCGAAAACTTCGAAGTCTCTGTCCACGGACAACTTGATCCAGTGAACATGTCTCAACCATGGATTCCAGAGCGCTGTATCCTTCTTCCAACAGAGTTGATATTTACAGAACAAGAGATCATCGCAAGTAGTGATGTCTTCATATTCCGAATATAAATCCCTGCAAGAAGAGTGTAGCTCACGCAAATCTATACTTTGATTGATGATGTCTATGGAATAAACCTTTGATCTGGTTAGGAAGATGAACTGAGGACGGGAGAGAGATAGGTGTTTGTTGATGAAACTCTTGTCGCTGATTAGAGAGTTCCATTTTTTCGACACGGCTCTGAATCGAACAAGAGATTTAGGTGGAAGACGAGAGAGTATTTCTTCCTCTAGTTCCCACGGAAGCATTAGGTCTTCTATAAGATAATATAGGATAATCCTTTTCTGTTTGAGAAAGGTTATATTTATATAAGAGATTCTTTTGGTGGATGTAAATTTACTCTTAATAGTTAATAAAAAGGTAACATTAATATATCATATAAAATCCAATATATATATTTTCTTGTTAGGGAAAATCAAACAATATCTTTTTTTTTTTGTGTAAAACTTGTTTCGTTTCATTAAACTAAATCTTTTCATTAAACAAAAATAAAGAATCTTTTAACGAAAGTTTTATGTAAAAAATGCTTATAAAAATAAACTAGATCATAACCCGTCCAACTGGGCGGGTCTTTGTTTTTATGGTATATATAACATTTCAAAATTATAATTTAATGGTTCCAATTTTACTAAGTAATGGTATATTGTTTAAACATTGCATTTTATTATTGTATTGTGTAACAGGGGCGTCGTAAAATGTTATGACCCGTAAACATTTTATTAATAGTTTATAAAGTTTTTTGACTAAATTTGGTGTAAAGTTATATACACTAAATAATTTAGCCAAATTTTTAATTTAATTTTTAATGAAGAATTGGAAGGCTAGTATATCACTGTTAAAAACTTATAAGAATAGTCAATATAAATTATATAAATAAAATATATATTATTCTTGATTTATTCTAAATACATTTAAAACATGAATACATATATGTATAAATAATTTGTAGAAATAAAGTAATATCAATGATCGAAAATCCAAAAATAATAATAATGGTACCTTGGGCTGCAGTAATCTTTAGTATAATAAATAAGCTCATTAAATTTGTATGCTATCCATGTTTCCAATCAAACTTTAAAAATTTTCTTATTCATGTTTCCAAACACTTTATTTTTGTACTTCAGTTTTAATAGTATAGATATTGTCTCAGGAGATGAAGGCTACATTTAGGAATATGATATGACAAGAAAGTTTGGTCTAGAAACTAAGTAACTTGCTAGACAAGTAACCTTAAAAACAACAAAAGTTATATTTTTTTCAAAAATGAGTATAATAAATCGGTTGATTCGATCCATATATACAGTAAATATAGGGGTATCAATTCGCTATTAAAATAACATTACAATTTGTTTTTTTTTTCTAAAGAGAAAATAGGTGGTTTGATTTCAGTTAAAAAATTTCCAAGTCGAATTTCATGTGCATAAAAAGGCTATGTGAGCACTGGTGGACTGAACCGCCGCGTTTCTCCCCAGCAATAGTCACACATATTTGGATAAGGCTATGTGAGCACTGGTATAATCGGTAAAAGTCTCATTTGCTTGTGCTTGTGTGTCTGAGATGTTCTGCGTCTTAACCTATCAGTACTTACGTGTGTTTGTGTTATAATTATTGTTACAGAGACAACCAAAAGAAATTTGTGGAGAAAATGAATCTGAAACCAGGAAAAAAAGTGTTAGATGTTGGTTGTGGCATTAGTGGAGGTGACTTCTTCTATATGTCTCAGAAGTATGATCTCTATCTGTAAACATGATCTCGTTCGCATTGGAACGTGCTATTCGACTCAACTTTGCACTACAAAACATTATCCAGATAATTCGTTCGATGTCATTTACACTATCCAGATAATTCGTTCACTATCCTCGTTTTTTTCATTCATAGGTTATAAGTAACTGCTCATAGCCCACTACAACATGATGTTTGATAATAAAACACATACAAACACAACATAACATGTATCAACCCATCAACTGGTATTAAGGTAATGCACTCCACAGTTTTTTATCATCCATTCGTTTCTGTCGACCTCAAACTCAAAGTAAAGTTCGTCTGAAGTCACGTCTGCTTCGAATTCAAAGATGTATAGATGTTCCGTTAAAGGACGATACAGAAGGAGTCCACTTCGACCGCATGGGACATCGATGCTATTCTGTTTGATCCCATAGTGTACACACACCCTTTGACCTCCAGCAGCTTCTACCTCATCTTTACGAACCAGCAAGATGCAAGCCTTACATATCATTGGTGAAGGTGAAGGCCTCTCGTTCAACTTTATTACTAGGGAACCTCCATTAGCTTGATAATTAAAGTAGTTAGGCATTTCTTTACCGGGTAAGATCGTAACATAATTAGTCGATGTTTTGATGATGACATCTCTCGCTTCTTTATTCAGTTTGAAGCAGTTGGCAAAGTTGAGATCAATCTTTTGATTAATAAAGGAGCAGTATAGTCTCTCCAGAGAATCACAATATTCTGCGTCTAGCTTTGATAATGAACTTTGAAGCTGTGGGAGTGACAAAAGCTCTTTGCATCCGTTGAGTACAAGATGACGTAAACGAGAGATTTTATTGATCCAAGGAGGAATCTCTTGTATTTCTGTGTTGCTCATGACCAAACCTGTCATGGTGTCAAGAACCTGAGGGAACTCCTTGAGGTTCTCGTTGTATGACAAATGCAATTCATCTAGACGAGGCCACAACCTGATAGATGAAGGCACTTCTTTAATCGCTGTTCCAGTGAGATTCATATATTTGATGTTTGTCGAGATCTCAGGAAAAATTTTCATCAAGGAGCAATCAGTGAGAACAAGGCTCCTCAGAGATTTCAAGTTGATGTTGACCGGGAGAACCTCCAGCTTGCAACATTCTTCCAAAATCAAAGAGTCTAGTTCATGGAGGTTTCCAATAGAGGCAGGAAGCTCCACAAGACTTGCACATCTACTAAAATTCAAACTCTTGAGATTAGTAGCGTTTCCAATAGAGCAAGGGACTCTCACTAAACTTGAGCAATCACTAAAATCCAATTCCTCGAGGTTGCTTATGGCATTCCCAATAGAAGATGGAAGCTCCCCTAAACTTAAACACCCTCTAAGATCCAACTTCTTGAGATGAATGACATTCCCAATAGAAGTTGGAAGCTCCACTAAACTCGAACATCCCCTGAGATTTAATTTCTGTAGACGAGTGGCAGTTGAGAGACTAGAAACATCCTTCAAGTTTTTTGAATCACTTAAATTCACCCACTTGAGATTGCGAAGCGGCTGACAGACAAAATCAACAAGACACATTTGTTAGATGTTATTAGTCTAGTTTTTTCAAGTTACATAACTGTACAAAGCTGATCAATAAAAACATATGATTTTTATGTTACTTACTTTAGTTCCTTCCCACAACTTCTCAAGTTTGCTGTCACGCATGATTAGTTCCACAAGGAGCTCTGGGTTGGAAATACAATGCAAACATGTCATCGGAAAATACCTCCACTCTAGTAATGTAAGCTTAGGAGATAAATAGCTTAGTGCACCAAATAAATGACATGCATCTCCTCCACGGTGTACCGGTCCGAGTCTTAAGAACTGGAGATTAAACATTCCTTCAAAGGCTCTCTCACTCACATTTATTTTGTCTCCGTAAAACCTTATGCCAATAACACTTCTACTTCCCTGAAAACAGAACCAAAAATAAGGTAGAGAAGATTGCAATTTATCATACATGCTCAATTTGTAATGAGCAGTACTGGAATAAAACACTAATAGCAAAACTTACCGCTGCATCATCAGCAAGTACTTCACGAGTCTCTCTTTTATCGACCAGAAACTTGCGTTGTCCAGGCTCAGTGGACTGTTTGCGGACAATATCTCTACCCAGCTGGACTACCAGATCATGCATAATCACACTTCCACTTTCCAAAGATATGAGAGACTTGTCAGCTAAGACGTTAAGCCGTCGTCTCACATCAGGAAATCTCTTTGAAAGATGCTCTACCACTTTCTCTATATTTTCATAGTTGAAAAAGCAGGCCACATGAAGAAACAAATCTTTATTTTCATCAGATAATGCGTTATAACCGAACATCAAGATGCTCTCAATTTCTCCATCAAGGCACATCCTTAGATCTGGTAGTGAATCTTCCCACTCCTGCTTGGACAGTCCACGAAAGTAAGATCCCATAACCCTTAGTCCCAAAGGGAGGTTACCGACGAGTATTGTAACTTCCAATACAAGCTTCTCAAAACCTTCTTCAGGGGACTTTTGACCAAAAGCATACATACAAAACATTTGATTAGCCTCACAATCTGATGGATAATCAACCTTGTAAATATGACTGATCCCATGTGCCTTCAGAATCTTTCGATCTTGCGTTGTAACGATAATCCGACTTCCATGACCAAACCACCGAGTTTCTTTGGCCATAGCTTCTAGCTGTACTAACCCATCAACATTATCAAGAACAACAAGAACTTTCTTGTCTTTCAGTCTTTCTCGTGCAACTCCCAAGTGAGAAATCTTGAGATCTTCCTCCTTCTGGTTGAGTAGTTGAGACAAAAGCTTTTGCTGCAAATGCAACTTCACATTGTAGTCGTCTGAACAAACCGGTGGCGTATACATTTCTTTGACATTCAACAGAAAGACACTGTATTGAAAAGTATGGGATAGTTGATTGAACAGACACCTAGCAATGGTGGTCTTCCCAATCCCAGCCGGCCCCCAAATCCCTATCATCCTCACTTCATCCAAATCTGTGCCTAAAAACGGCGAAATATTCTCAATATGAGCTTCCATCCCAATGAATATATCGAGATCTCTTGGCGGCGAGGAGTTGAACAACTTCTTTGCAACCTCAGTGGCAACATCTTCGATCATTTTTGCCTCATTATCCCTTATACAACATATTCAAAATATATCCAAGTCAATTACAATTGTTCAAAATATATTCATAGTTATTACGGATAAAAATATTTCAAACCGGGAATCTAAGGGGTTTTAATTAATATATAAAGGATTAGAGCTAATATAAGATTATCTCTTAATAAAAACCCGAATCTAACAATAGCTTGATTTGTGTTTGGAAAAATTATGAATAAGATGACAAACCAGTTCTTTGAATGGTAACCAGCGAGGGTGGCCACTTTTGTTAGAGCTTCACTCCATTTCCTAGTAACCTCGTTTCTTTTACCTTTACAAGTTTTATTAAAGACTTTCCCAAACTCACCGGCCTGTTTCTTGACATCAGTTGGATCCACTTTATAGAAAACCGGCATCACCGTTTGACCTAACTCTTCCTTACAGTTCATAATCTCCACTAACTCGTCAAGACACCAAGAGGAAGAAGCGTATCTTTTCGAGAGCAACACAATCGCGATTCTTGATCCTTGGATTGCCTTCTTGAGCTCAGGGCCGATAAACTCTCCTCTAGTGATCTCGTTATCAATGAACATGTTTATTCCTTTGCTCCCAAACTCCTTGACAAGATGACTGAGAAAGGATGTACGGACATCTGCTCCGTGGAAGCTCGGGAAGACATCGTGTATGCAGTTACTAGGCAAAGACGACTTGGGAGATGGTGGAGATGAAGATGCAGAAGAAGAAGCAACTATTTTGTTTTCTTTGACTTTGAACTTTGCATAAACAAAAGAAAAGATTCTACTACACAAAAGCGTAGCAACTATCACAAGGAGAAGGTAAAGATCCATTACTACGCTGGAGAGAAGATCTTTAGATCACAGAGATTTTACGAGATCTAGAGGGTAATGATTTTCAAAGAGTTTTGTGTGTATAATGAGAAAACGTTGACGTTATTGACTGGCAATGTTGACACTAGCAAGAGAGAAACTAAGCTTGACGGAAATAAAGTTATCTTTTTACAGAAAATAATTGAACCACAGAGAAAGCCATCATGTAGGTTCCACCATTCTTGTAAGTTTTATAAACAGAAGTTCTTGGATATTTCCTGTGAATTGCATATGAAATTTCCCTTTTAAATATGATCAGTCCGGTTCAAAACTAATGCTTTGTTCATCTTAATAAATATAAAGTCCCCACATATATTCAAATAACAACAAATTAGCCGACATCCCATTCTTTGTTTTTCTAAAATATCTAATTAACTTTTTTGTCGACATCCATTTCGTTTAAAACCCAAATATTATTAACTCATTCAGATTGCAACTGGTTATATCTAAAAACTAACCAATCAGGTAAAATTTAAGCTTTTGATGGTAAACTAATATAAAAGAAAACTAAGAGTAAATTAAAAAAAAAATTTAAAAGAGAAAATAAATGGAACTTCTTGTATTTATTAACACACTGAAAAATAAAACATGATTTTCGATCGGACAAATATGAGTAGTCACAAACATGATTCGTGATTGAGATTTGTGATTGGAGTCTAACTTGGTTGGAATGTAATTATAACTTTTATACATCTCAATATCTCATTAACTTTTCAAATCGGAAAACTTAAATTATCCACATAAATTTTATCTTTGTACCACTAATATTCTTGTAATCACCACCCAAATCAAAGTCTCCGGATACTGGATAGACGTTGGTTGATAAACACACAGATGACAGAATCTAACATGGTTGTGGAATATCACAAGTGCAACCTTCAAGCATCTTTATATAATTTGTTTTAAAAATACATCAAAGTAGGAGGATGAATAATCAACGCAAGCTCTTGTATCCATAAGTCTTGTTCAAAAAGCATAAATGAGAGTATTTTGGATATTAAATGCAATAGAAAAAAAAAACAATAAAGAATTTTCATTTCCATACACACCAACCCAATTAAAAATTTATATAAATTTTGTATAATCAGTAAAAGTCTCATTTTCTTGTGCTTGTGTGTCCGAGATGTTCTGCGTCTTAACCTATCAGTACTTACGTGTGTTTGTGTTATATTTATGTTACAGAGACCACTAAAGAATTTGTGGAGAAAATGAATATGAAACCAGGAAAAAAAGTGTTAGATGTTGGTTGTGGCATTAGTGGAGGTGACTTCTATATGTCTCAGAAGTATGATCTCTATCTGTAAACATGATCTCGTTCGCATTAGAACGTGCTATTCGACTCAACTGCTCGGATTGCACCACAAAACATTACCCAGATAATTCGTTCGATGTCATTTTTTTTTTTGTACCTAAGCTGCACATCCATGTACCTCAGCTTTTTTTTTTGTACCTAAGCTTTATCTCTATTTCTTCTGTTATAAGTTTATCACTGTGAATGCTTAATTCATTCTCTTTGAACAGGACAACCCAGCTTTGTTCAGGATTCTCTTCAAGTGTCTTAAACCAGGTGGTAAAGTGCTCATAAAGCTGACTACTGTAGGAGCCCAAAAGTACATCAAACAGAGAGGATATGATCTCCATGATGTTCAAGCCTATGGGCGGGTTCGTTTTTGCTTCTTCAATGATAAAAAAAAAAAGTTTTATTTTCTTTTGGCTTTGATGTTATTGTGTACTTTTGAATGTTGTTTGGTTTACCTTCAGTGCTTTCGCTTAAGATAACACAGAGTTCCTTCTCGGTTTCTATCCTAACTTGCTTTAATTTTGTTGAATAATTGGCTTGGTGATCTTGAGAACTGGTATGTATGAACCAAACAGCTAGGGCAATAAACTTAAATATTCATACAAATACAAAAGCATTACAAACTAAAAAAAAACAGAACCAACCAACTTATTTCAACTTGTTCCACCACTTAGCTGACGAGCCTGAGACTCCCAAAAGAGCCTAACAGTGGAATAAATCAAAGAAGGCTCAGCCATCGCACCATTACCATAATCACCACACGCTAATCTCTTCTTAATCGGAGGAATAAGCGTGACTCCAAGCTCATCAAGCGAACAAAGATGCCTCTCCGTAAAAGGATTCTCCCACATCAAAGTATTCATCGCTGGTGCAACAAAAACCGGTTTACTATAATCCCAAGCTCGAATAATACACGTGAGCAGATTATCACACAACCCACCAGCAATCTAATAAAAAAAAAGACACAAAAAAGTAAGCAAAGTTTTGTAATGAAAAAAATTTGGAATTGTTTTTTTTTTTTTTAAACCTTAGCTAATGTGTTAGCAGACAAAGGAGCGATGACGATGACGTCAGCCCAGCGTCTAAGCTCGATGTGGAGCACGGGATCTCCGATCTTGTTCCAGCTCGACCACTCTTCTTCGTCGGTGTAGAGAGTGACTTCCCCTGGGAGAGAGAGCTTGTCGAGGAAGTGGAGAGATGACTTCGAGACGACGGCTTTTACTTCGGCCCATTCTGTGAAACAGTGGCAGAGGTTTCCGAATTTTATGGCCGCGACGCTTCCGCTCGCGGCGAGGAGGACGCGGGGTTTACGTGGTGTGGTTTGGACTTCCATGTCTTCTCTGTCTCGTTTACCGTTATCCATGGATGGTTCGACGAAAGGAACCCTAATTTGAGATCTGCTCGAGAAAATATCAAAATGTTTGAAGAGGGAAGAGAGTTAAGTGAGATAAAAAGGATTATCATTACTCTCTCACTCTAACTGGTCAAATGGGCCGTTGACTTTTTTATTTTGGGCCTTTTGTCCTTTTTGTGTGGGCTTTAGTTCTTACAGACGCAACTGAAAGGGATTTAAAAATTACTCTCTATCTCAATAATTTCTTCAACTTGCTTTAGGATTTCTGTGAATTTTAAAGGGTTATCTTTTATTAATTTTACAAGTTGTAAACTTTTTTAAGATCATGGACGGCCATTTTTTTTGCATCGATATCATCATCCATGTATAATATACATATGATAAAAAAGATATCTCTGTTTACTAAATGCTGTTATGATATACAGATCCACAGTTAGTATGTGGAATGTGGTTAATGTGATTTGCATTAACATACGCAGATTATCATCTTGTAATATACAATTATAAATACTTATCTTCTCTACATCCATTCCATTTTTTTTTGTAGTTAACTAGTTGATATAGACATGTCTTCTGCTGTGCACAAGACATGGAATAGATATGGAGATAGAAGCAACATGTAAAATGAAATTATTCATCCTCCTAAAACGATATATCAGCAAAAAGAGAGAAACAAAGATTCATAACAGAGAAAACATCCAAACACAGGAAATATCCCCTAATTTACATCAACCTCTTAATGTTTTAGTTAGAGACACACTGACATAACACCATCAAAAGAGTTTGTTTTTCTTCTTCCAACAAACTAAAAATCCTTATAGGTTTTTTAATTAAGATAGGAACCAACATCTAAATACTACTAAAAAGAACACTCCTAACCACAAACACCAAGGCTAATGTCTAGGCCGTTTTTTTGTTTTCAGATCATTATTCTTCAGAACAGAGCTTCTTGCATTGCCTCTGCATCTGTCTGGACCTGGGTCAGGGATATCGGGGCGTGTTCTTCTTCTCCTCCATCTCTTTCTTGTCCATGTCCCTCTCCCTCTCCTTGTGGTTCTTCAGCTTCAGTCTGTGTCGCCGCCTCCTCTGGCTGCACTTCTTCCACTGCTTGTGGCTCAACACTCAACATTGTTATTAAACCTTCCATCTTTTCTGCTGCTTCAACCACTGCTTGATTGTCGTTGTTTGTGATACCAGCTGTCAACACATTCAGGATTTCTTTTGCTTTCTCATTCTGAAACATTCAAAGACACAAAACCAAATAATAAGAATCAAACCAAAAAAATAAGACAACGGTTTTTTATTATAAAGACTTGACTTACACAGAGGTCAAGCTTTGCCTTGAGTTCTCCATATGCAGCTTTATCTGCCTCAGTAGCTCCCGTGACCGGCCATGTTGTGTTCTAGGTTCATAAAAAGAATAAACGTTAGATATAAGTTCAGAAAATTGCACGACAGACAATAATGTTTAAATAAAGACAACACTTTTAAGTACTAATTGAGATACGTTTCTATTTAAGAGAAGATAAGAACTAAGACCGTGACTAAGTAAAGCATTAACAAGATTAATTATCATACTAAAGCGAAACACCACCTACCACTTAACCCTTAATTATCCAAAGACGATAAGGATAAGCCCAAAGTCGAGGGACACGAATATAATAAAAACACACCTGGGAGCTAGACACGTTTAGATTCTTTCTTACAAACTAAAAAAAACAGACAAGTGACACTGACATAATTCACAAATGATTGCCATAAAGTATCAACCTTTTCAATCCTAAATTGACGGCAGAGCAGTGAACAATACTAACATATGATCACATATAGACTCCGAAGTCGTTACCTTTCTGGGTCTACCAACGGGACGCCCTCTTCCACGCTTAGGCTTAGCAATAAGCCTATTCTTAACACCACCGATCTTAGGAGGTCTTCCTCGTCCACGCTTAATCCCAGGCGCAACCGCCACAGCCTCCCCACCTACTACAGCAACCGGAGCAACTCCAGAGTCAACTCTCCTCGGCCTCCCACGGCGTCTAGCTCCATTAGCAACGTAAGGAAACACAGAGGCAGAAGAGGAGACAGACAAAGGCTTCCTCTGTCTCCCAGCAGCTCTCCGACCCGGTGGCCTCCCTCTCCTCTTCATGATCACAGACATACCCACCGCAGGCCGTGGGATCGGAGCAGATCCGTCTTTCCTCGGACGACCACGCCCTCTCTTCGCCGACGAGGACTCCGTAACCCCCTGCGTCGGACTTGTTACATGAATCTGTGGTTGCTCCTCCCAGCTCGGCTGTCCGTTAAGCTGGACAGCGTTTGGTTGAGGAGAAGCTTCAGGTTTCGCCTTCGGAGGACGTCCACGTCCTCTCTTCAACGGCTGAGAAGCAGAGCCAGAAACAGAGCCAGAGACTGGATCAGGGTTGTTGCTGAGAGGAGACTCAGATCTGGGAGCAGAGAGACCAGCAGCGGCGGCGGCAGCGGCAACGGCGACGCTCTCGGGAGCGGAAGAGGTGGCAGCGAGCTTGTAAGACTTTTTAACCATGGAGAGAACTCCACAGTTCTTCAGAGTCTTGAGATGGTGAGTTAAGAGAGCCGCGTGAGCTGTGGGTAAAACAGGGTTAGATCTCTCGATGTACCTCGAAATCGCCATCTTGCTCGAACCCTCCGGCTCGTTCAAATGCGCAATCGCCTCTACAATCAACTACACACAAAAAGGTGAACACTTTATTAAAAGGGTCATCTCGATTTAGTATAAAGGAGGAGACTTTTTTTTAGATCGGAGCTTACTTCTGAGTAAGGAGGAGCTGTCGGCGTTTGCGTTTGGGGTTGCGTTTGCGGTTGAGGAGGGGAGACATGGGTGTTGAAGGAAGTCTGGTTTCCACCGTAGAAGGGGAGATTCGGAGCGGAGACAAAAGGGTTGTTGGAAGGTGGAAATTGAGGGAAAGGAGAGTACTGTTGAGGACGGTGAGGATCACTGGAAAGAGATGGATCCATTTTGAGACAGAGAAACAGTGAAACCAAAGAAAGAAAGAAAAGAAAAAAAGACAGCGGCAGGTGAGATTTAGTTTTTAGGTTTTTTTTTTTCCCTTTCTTTCTTTTGATTGATAATTGTTTTGTTTTTGTGGAAAAATATATAAATGTTAGGGGGGGAAGAAATAGAGAGAGGGATAGAGTTAGGTTTGAGAGGAGAGGTGGAGGATGGAGATATGCGAGTGAAGATGATAGGGTTGATTTGCTGTTACGTTAATCTCACCGTTGAATTTTTGTTATTATTGGTTTTTTGACGAGGATCGATGACGTGTCGTTTGGTTTTTGTATTTTTATTTTGAGATTTGTGTTTCTTTAGGTTTTTTTATTTTATTTATTTGGGCTTTTACCATTTGGCTAACATTTTAGATCCAAATGTACTTGAAATTAAAAAATGGACCGCCAATTTTTTCTAAAAGACCCGCCTCATTTTCAGTGTAAATTATTTTGTAAACATTAAAATCAAGGATATATCTTTTTTGAAAAAAAAAATGAGGAATATCAACTTGTACATAAAAGAAGCGCGTAGCAAGCATTGTTGCATTAAGTAACCTGTAATAATAAACTCCAATTTTTGAAACTGGCTGTAACAAACTCCATTAAGGAGTGTATGATAAGCAAACATAAAGGATGGTTCGCTTAGAAATCAGTTAACTGAGAATCTGAGATAATATGGGCGAATTCAGGGAGAAATTATAATGGGAACAAAGCATCAACCGAAGAAAGTTAATTATTGGATGCACTCAACTTCTAATATTTTTGTAATTTTACACAAAGAAAAAAGATAGTGAAAGTATAATTGTATATGCATTCAGTCCTTGCTCTTTACACTACGTTGCCATCTAAATTTTATTTCTAGAATAACAAATATAAAGAATTTTCAATCTATAAGCTTGTCTATATAAATTATAAAGCATTTAAGATTCTATTAGCATTGGATACAACCGTTTTTCTTCCTACTTTGAAAGAAATCCAAAGTTGACAAACGGACATTGTAAAATAACCAAGCAAAGAGATCATACCAAATACACTGAAATTTTGAAAATGATTTTTTCTTATGATCTTTTCATTGTAAAATGATTTTTCACATCCAATGATCTTATAACTGAAAAAGGTTTTGATAGCAATTGATGAAAACCAAAAACAAAACCATATTGTCGAGAATTATCATTTTACTCAAGACCGATCCGAAGTATAAGTAAGGCAAGTGATCGCTTAGAACATCATATTTTTAAAGGATAATTTAATTGTACATAAGATTTTATAAAAAAAAAAAATTATGCAGAATAAGGACATAGCGTTTTAAGTGAACTTAGAACATCAAGCAAACTATACGATTGTCAAAATAAATTAACGGACATGTGTGTTACTGCACGAGAAATATCAGCAGATTAGAAAATAAACTCAAAATAGCAAGTCGCCAACATAGCGAGAAGAAAATGAATTTCAACGTACCAATATATTTTGACCGATTTTAACCATAATCTATTCTTTAGGTCTTTCAAATGTTTATTTCGTTGGCCGCTCTATGCCTACCAATGTAAAACAACAACTATAATATATTCATTTATCACATCCACAACAGTGGAGATAGTGGGTGACCATTGAAGCTCCAAAACTAACCTTAGCCAAGTCGCTTTCAATGCAACATCTATCTACGTTTGTCTATTATCTATGCGTGTGTTGTGTGCGTGCGTGAGCGAGCTCAAAGCATATTTAAGCAAAGTCAAACACAGAAACAAACAAATATGCGGCAAATAAAAGACGAGAGAGAGACCAGACGACAACCAAATAGTCAAGGAGCACAATGACTAGAATACGAATCACGCTACTATCAAACTATGTCTGGACAATATTATTCTTACCAAATTCTATAAAATATCATATTATCCACATGTTTAAGTACTTTGTAATAATGGAAACGTTACATTTGTATATAGTTTTGTTGGAAACGTGTTTGCTCCAGTGCTTTGTCAAAAACTTACAGGCTTGGCTCTTGTAGAAATGTTTGATCCATAGAATATACCACATGTGTACCGTGTACGTTAATAAAAAGTAACATCCGAAGTGAAATTAAAACTTTTATAATAAAATATAAATAGTTTGAGGTCATATAATATTTCATTTGAGTGATCACACGAATACATTTGATGCATCATCTAGTAAAAATGACAAACTGCAAACGAAAAGAAAAGAAAAATGTATGCTGCACAAAATCCATATTGCTATTATTCTCTCTAGTTTGGTAAATGAGGAAGGTCTCAGTCTAAGAAGTAAAGTATAGAGATCATAAACTACTGTTTGAATGTTTACATGAACCGAATATGTTCACTGAGATTTTGGCAATATCAGTCTTAAGTCTTAGCAACATCATTTAAAACCATTTTTTGCACATGTTAATGGGC